TATGGGCTCGGCTATGTCTGCTTCTGCGCGTTACACATTTCGCGACAGAGTTATAATACCCTCTGCAAGGGTATAAAAACACTACGCATATATTAGATAGGGCAGTGCCTAATAAAGTATACCCCATTATAATAAGACTTATGGCTGTGCGGCGATAAGATCGTTGTTAAGTCGACGTATTGATAAGTTGTTCGTTGTTATTTTGATAAGACAAGTTCGACTGTACAAAATACACGTGCACCTTTTATAAATGTACATATATTGAAGAAGCATTGAAATATGCAGATTATAATATGATATACTTTTCAATAAATGGAAAGTCTTCCTCTTATTCTATTAATTCAGCTGAACTCTTGATAGTTTTTCACAGAAATTGATCAAAATTCCCAATTCCCAATTCCTGATTCCTGTTCATATTACAACATCATTAACATCCAACAAATGTTAGCAATATATCATAACTCTGGACTCGAGGCGCATCGATTATGGTATTCGAGAGAGTTCGGCAGAGTTTATGTATACCATGTGCTAATTAACTAAATTTAACTGGGATTTCTTTTTTTTGTACAAACCGGTTTAAGATCTTACGACTTTGCATTCAACTGCTGAAATGTTGTTTTGTTTATAAGAGGGAACGATTTTATAGCTGCGCTTTAATAGGTTCTTAAGGTCTATAAATAATATATGTATATAAAGATGTGTGCTCTCTGATCTTTAATGCGTGTACTAACTTGTTCAGTGCGTTTCTCTGTTGGCCTAGGCTCTAGCTTTAGGGCAAATCTTCAACTGGGCTTTTTGAGCGTGATTCAGGCGAAGCTTGTTGCCAGCTTTGCAAATAAAGTGCGTATTTTATGGATCAGTCTGAAAGTCTAGAGATGTTTACTTTTAATTAGGTTTACAAACGCGTTTCTTCAATTCAAGATTTATCTAATGCGTTAGACCTTCTATTTGGCAGAGCTTTGATACTCTGGAAGCTTTTGATACTTTCGGCAGCTATGCAAATGATGAAATTGATTCAAGTTGAAAAGATATTGACCGTGTGGGGCCTCTCAAGAGCATGTCAACAAGGCAAATTAACTGAGCTTTTCAGCGTCTGTGCGAAACCTGTTTTATATTTTTATATATATATATATTTTTTGTGTTTTTATTTTAGCAAGTGCCGCGAAGTACCTTATAAACAAACATGTGGGCTGCAAAAACCCCATTTGATGTGTCTGAACACGTACATATCAGAAAACAGGCCCATATTTACTTAGGCAATTACCTATTTAAATATACGTGTGTACCCTACAGGGAGGGTACTGTCGGACTGGAGAATATAATGGGCTATGATCGTGTCACTAATATTAGCACTCGCTCAATGGCAAATACCCAGCCCGTAATTAGACATGTCAACGTAGACGACACATGTGTATCTGTGTATCCATATTACTGGAATCGTAGGCAAATCAAGCGGATATAGAGCTGTAATTATTATTATATTTACAATTGTGGTCTGTAAGATATGCTTGAAAGAACCGCTAGACACTAATTAAAATGTTCAATTTGGCATTTTCCATTGCGATGCTACGCAAAATTCTCGGGAATAACAAATACAAATGAAATGTTTATTTTTAATTTGCCATACCCTCGATGTGTTTGCCTAGGCTATACTTGGATTGCGAGTGCGTATGCAACGGCTCGAAGAGTGCAGCTCTAGGGCTGATCTAGAGAGATGGACATGATATGGAGTATACCGTCTGGTCTTGGCTTGCAAACAATGTCATTCCAGAAGTCCTATTTTATTATTGTATATTTTGTTTATGTATGTCAGTAAAGTACTTCGGGAAGTAATAATAAAAATACTAATGCAAATAATAATAATCTATGTGCATTTTATATGTCATTTAAATCAAAAATGTATTATTTTTTAAATATTTATAACTTTAGCTACTCTGGCTTACGGCCATACAATAACCGGGTACTGGAACCCGGAAGTACGTCGGACTAGTTGCACGTAACACTTGAACAAAACACATTAACCGGCTACTGCACAATTGGCTAAGGTAGTATTGATAACGATAGCGATAAACGCATTAGATTCATTTAAATTTTATATTGATTCTATTTTTACAGTCATTTTGTGCGCGTAGGCGTATGCGCTATTTCGCAGTCTGTTACAGGGTATCTGCTGGTTGACACGGACACTAGACATATTTTTCGGGCTTTTAGGTGGGCAGTTAAGGGCGTTCCAAAGAGCAAAATATACGCGATGACCACATGCCGGTAATTTATACGAATGCCATTTAACTCTGTACACAGAAGAGGCTCTGTTTACAGTGCGAATGAAAATTATTTGCAAAGCAATAAACACAAGCATACACATGCATGTGTGTATGTATGTAGATTTTAACATTGCTATGGCGATCACTGGGCGGGCGATGCACTGGGCGGGCGATATAAAATGATTCCACTGCACTAACACATGTAGACATAAGCCGACACACGCACACACACGCTCACATACACAAGCGTCTCACTACACGCGCTTAGTTTGTTGATTAGTAACATAAAGGAGGGGGCGCAAAAGAGTTGACAGCGAACTTAACTAAAACGGCGCAATTTTCGGATTGCCACTTCAAAGATGTACAAATTAAAATACATTCATAATACATACATACAAGAACAGTTGCGTTTTTAAGTTTTATTTTCAATTGTTTACACTTTTGTTATAGTGTTTTGAAGTTGTTGTATACTCTTTTTTGAATACAAGAGCTTTTTACGTAGTTATAGTTAGTGTTTACGTCAGTTTCAAAACAACATTCCACAGGTGCTATAAATGCTTTAAGAGAGCAGCGACGTGTTGGCGTTTACAGTACGGTTCACAATATACTGAGCGGCCATTGTGGCGAGTAGCGCAGCGAATGCCGCTAATCGGTTCGGTCAGCTGGTCGGCGTCGACGATGCGCAAGTTGCCCTCGGCCCGCGCCGCAGCACACGACGAAGCGACACGCGACGTTGATTCACAATAACAACGGCAGCTGAATTCAAAACAACAAGTGCACAGAACTCTCTGTCTCCCTCTCTCTCTCTCTTTCGGTGTTGCTGCTGATATTGTTGACGAGAGAGAGTGAATGCGAGAGCGCGCGTGCATGCGTGTGTACGTATGTGTGTATTTGGATAAGAGATAGTATTAATTGAGCTGTTTGCCATAATTTTCACAACGCTGTTAAATATTTTTACATAGAAAACAAACAAGAAAAGATAAGAGTATAAAGTAGCTACACTAACAGACACCCTGTTAATGATAAGAGCATAAAGTAGCTACACTAACAGACACCCTGTTCATGTTGCCTATAAGAAGAGCAGGCTGTTTGCTTAAAATAGCTTTTAGGAGAAAGTTAAATTATCTTATCTGAGTTACCGATAAAAATGTATAATCAGTTCAGCTCTTGAACATAGGGTATATTCAAGTCGTTTTGAACGCTTAAGCAAGCAATTTATCAATATTTTCAATATTTTTATTCTTTTACTTTGCGAGCTATCAACATTTAAGATTGATAAGCGTATTCGAATGAGTAATGTTCGTAGCACTCAGAATTGTTATTTGTGGCAGATAATTTCAGATAGGTTTTCCCAATGAAGGTCGGGCAGATAATGAATACTTGTAATATATTTTGATTAAACGAAATACTCCCTATGTTTGTTACATATTAATTATCATTTTATTTATATGCATTCCCATTTGACTTAATATACATAAATATATTTTCATACAATTAGATTTACGTCTTTAAAGTTGCTTTGCCTGCATTCCATATACACAAATATTCTTCTACACAAATTTCTTATAAAAGGTGTTACAATACAAATACAAATTCATATTAGGTTTAAGCTTAAGAACAGTCGCAAATAAATTTTGTCTAATAAAATTAACTAGAATTTTGTTATTATTTACGAAAAAAAAATAAATAAGAAACAGTAAATTTTACATTCTTCTTCTTTATAGGGACTTTCGGGAAACTAAGTGTGATTAATCCGAAATGTGAACAAAATGCATACAATATGTGGACGGATATGCGCAAGTATACGAGTAGATATTGGATATGGATGAAGCCAAATCAAGTTGAATTGAAAATAAATAAATATTTACATTGAACCCACTGAAAACTCTACCGGAATCGAAGGATAGTTCCTTGTATGCCACTCAACCGCAACGCATTGTATTTTGTTCCGAAGTTATCTTTTTCTTTTATCTAGGTAGATGATTTTGTAAAACTTTCTAAATGTTGACTTTAAGTGTACGTTTTGTATTCGGTTTCTGTATGCTAGTTAATTTTAGTTTCATTATATTTCTTTTTGTGGGTTTATACATTTCTCGAAAACAGTAAAATCGCTCCAAAACTTGTTTCTGGTTAGCTACTAGAGTTTGTTGTATTTGTAATCCATATTTAAGAATTCGATTTATTTACTGATATCTCTATCATATTTATATGTGTGTAAATACGCGTATCTGAGCAGATTGACATTGTTTTTTTTTGTGTTTTTTTGTTTTTGTTTTGCAAAACATGTACGAGTGTCTTTGAGTTAGTCTTAGTTAAAAACCAAAGAGAAAAAAAACAAGATCTGTATCTACCTCCAGCAAACAAGTCTGAAATATGAATTAGCATAACAAAGCATAGACGAAGGTTCTACAAAAAAGTAAACCAGAATGGGTCGCCAGATCGAGATTGAGTTGCACAGCGATTCTGGGTTTATGCTGATAAACTTTGCCAGACATGCGTACATATATACTAGCTAATCAAGCTTCAAGTGCGCCGCGGTTATCAGCGCTGCTTTATTTTAAATGCCAGTTCTTCAACTGAACAAAAATTAAAAATAAAATAAAATAAAGTCAAGATGTGCCATGCTTTCAACTGAGATAAGTGCCAGCTGTTTGGCTTACCAAGTTTCGTAAGCCCCATACTTGATAGCCCCCCCCCCCCCCCCCCCCCCCCCTGTCAGCGTCGAAGCCGAACAGTGGCACAAAGTTGTCCAAAGTAAGTACAGGAAAAGCCCCGTTAACGGACTAACGAAAGCTACCTTGGTCTGATATCTCCTGATATCTGCAATTTAATTTTAGTTTCAATCTATTGTTTAATAAACTTTATCTCGCTTAGACTTTGTTAATGAAAATCGTTCGCAGCAACATTTAACTTTCTTAAACTTGTAAATAGTGAAAATTGGAATAATTTTCAATTCTTTGGAACGTTTTGTGAAATAGACAAGTTTTTAGATATTTCTTTTGGAACAGAAAGAAATATAAAAAAACATTTCCCTAAGCAGAACGAAAAAAAATATAACTGGTTAACTGTGCTCGTTCGTTTAAGTGAGGTCTCACTGTAACCAGCGGTAACTGAATGCACGGCCCATAAACTGTGTGGCCATAAGGTAAAAGTTTGTAAATACACATAAATACATACGTACTTCTATCGATAATAATGTCAATAATTTGTTGTGCATAAATAAAAAGTGTCGAGAGTTTTGGCAAAATGCTTGCTCTATGTACATATGCCTTTATGGAGTTCTCATATTGCAAGTATATTTTTTTCTTTTTTTTTTGGAAAAGGAAGAGTTCTGTGATATATCAATGCGCACACATACATTTACATATACACACACATACAGCTTAAGAAACGAGTCTTACGTTAAAGAATATGCTATACATTTATCATAATTTGTTAATGGATTGTTTTTTACTTCCTTTTTTTGTTTTTTTCATTTGTAAGTGTTTTATATGTTTTTGGTTTTTTCTTTTAAGTTTTGCTGAAAAAATATGTTAATTTGTTTTGTCTTACAGGCTATATTACTTTTCTCTAAATATGCTTCCTCTTTTGTTTTCGGTTTTGTAAAATATACATACATATACAATATAGATATATCTTTATGTTCAGTTGTAGATAATAGAAAATGGCATCAGTAAGTATGCGTATTTTCCATACAATATATATATATATATACTTAAGAGATTGGTGTGTTTGCTTTCCTAATTTACAGTTGAATTTCATTTTATTGCGTTAACTGAATCCCAAGTAGGAAGTAGAACCAAATACAACTAATGGAGATCTCAAACCCTGTCGATAGGTAATCGCAAAGTGGCAAGTGTATGGCAATGATATGGTAATTATTATTACTTTAGTAAGTACTTTAAATAATTATATATAATTAATTAATTCATTGATTATTTTCGTGTGTGTGAGTGTGTGTGTTTCTGCCTGCAAGGAACATAATTACAAATGAATTGGGGAGCACCGCTTCCAGCCCCAACACCACAGAACATAATTAAACTAAAATTCGAATAGTTCTATGTGCTTTGGAGGCGCAATGCTCTATCGATGCGAATGCAAATTACTTTCCACCCATTTATAGAGCGCCGTCTGGGATCTGGCCACCCATTCCACATTGGAGGCAACGCTGCTGAGCGTCATGTTCAGCACGGACATGCCCTGACCACGCCCAAAGCGATGTACCAAGGACTTCAGCTGGGGGTGCGAAAACATTTATAAATCAATTTAAGACATATGTGGGCATAGATATTAGTTATCGCCTACCTCATCGTAATCGAATTTCGTTGCGCCATATTGCGTTATGGCCGATATCACCTTGGCGAAGCTAATGGTGTCCGGGCCCAGACGCTTCTCCAGCTCAAACCATTTGGCCTGCAGAAAGCGGCAGGCCATCGCACCGCCGGTGGGCGTGCCTGCGATGGCCTTGAGCACCTGTACCACCTCCTCGGTGGGCAGCATGGTGACATGCGATAGCAAGCGATTCTGCAGCCAGGCATCCTTGGTGCGCCCCAAGGCGCGCAGCAACTGCATCCGTTCCACAAATGTCTCCGAGGTGCGCTGCAAGTTGACAAAGCGCTCCCAGCAATGCTGCCAATAGATGTACTCACCGGATAGTATAGAGCCCGTGTAGACCACCTGAATGAGAGCATGTTAAGAGCGTGTTAAGCTAAATCCCAAGCGGCCTCTGATCGAGCTTACCTCACGCAAATTGGGCGCTATGGCGGATCCGTTGTAGTACAAATATTGATTCAACATATTCTTCGCCTTCGTAATGCTGTCAATGTCCTCCCACAGCACCGATGCCAGGAGCACCTCGGGCCGCATGAGCCTAACAGGTAGACATTATAGATATTCCACTTTTATACCAAATGTATATTCTTATTGTAGCTCACCTGCTGGCCACATCGCCCTCATCGGTCCAGCCCACCTTTTCCATGACAGTGGATAGTTTCATTTTGATAAACTCGCTGAGCATGAGGAAACATTCCGAGTACTTGAGTATGCGACGCCACTTCTCCAAATGTCGCACAGCCAATGCCATTGGACCGTAATGCGTCTCACTGGGCAAATATTGGATCATGTTCATCGTAATCTCGCAGGGCAACAGATTCGCATGGCACAAGGTAAACGCATCCGAGAGCAGGCCGAGACGATCCTACACGACATTCCATGAAATTAAATTTGAATCCACATTTCAAGGATATCTATACAAACCTCGCTGCTAAAACGATTCGGATTGTTGGATAGCTCCTCGATGAGACTAGCCCAGTTGTCATCGTTGTAGACGACGCGATAATAACCATTCTGTATGGCATTCACCTTGATCCATTTCACATTCTCCGGCACATTGAAAGTTACTGAAAATGGAAGATTCGACATTGTTATTGTTAGGCAATGCTTGGAACTAAATTGTATTGGAATAAGAAAAAGAATTCTCCATCAATAACTCAAGCACTAAGCGAGTCTTCAAGAAGAATCATGATAGTTTTTTACTTAGCTCTTAAAATTCTAAAGTTCTAGAATCGGATTTACGTACTATAGGTATTATTTTCTTCCATCGGATAGATTTTTCAGACTCAAACTGTGGAACAGTTGAATGGATTCCCACTTTTCAAACTGAAATTTCCTATTCACCATATTTTTTATAGCGAATCTCTTGATGAGAGGACCAAGTAGAACGTTTGGGTCGCAGGCATATTGAGGGTTACTGCACAGCTGATGAACTACTGAAGTTGTCAAGTAAGGTTTCTCTTCTTTCATACAACCAAAAGCAAATGCAAAAGGAGAATCCTTTTTCAGAATCATACTCCCTCTCTGATCTAAGATCTATCTATCAGGTTTCAACTCAGTCCGGTTAGATTTCAGAAAGGTCTTAGGTAGGACTTAGGTGCTTCCTTTTCAGAGTTTATGTGTGGACGAGCTGTGCACCGACTTTAGTCAAATTAGGGCTTGGTGCCCTCGGCTAGTGCATTAAATCACCTAACCCAACTTGATTCGAGCTACTCACCATCGATGTTCTGCATCCAGAGCGTCTCGCTGACATTGTTGATATCGGTGACATATGTAACCGGAAAAATCCATTTGAGATGTGGCACAGACTTGTGCTTGCTGGCATGGGTGGGCGCCACGGTGCTGGGCATGTCGGTGGCATTCAGTGTGGTCTTGTTGTAGTTGTTGCCATCGTAGGATTCATCGTGAATGGCCAGAAAGTCGGCTGGCTTGAAGGGTCGCTGCGATATGGATATGGTGTTGCCCATTTTGGTAACGGTGAGCAGCGGAAATCCGGGCTGATGTGTCCACAGCGTCATCATGTCCTTAATATTCTTTGAGCCATTCGCCTTTTTCGTGCATATGGTCCAGAGATCCGTGGGCTCGGCGGTCTTGAAACGGTTCAGCTTGAGGAAGGTGCCCAGGCAGCCGCGGAAGCGATCCTCGCCAATGGCCGTGTGCAGCATGGAGAATATAGCTGCCGTTTTCTGGACAAAGAACTCCTCGTTGTTGCCATCGTGCCGGGTGCCGTTCATGATGCTGTCCCAGCCCTGAATGGCATCAATGTCCAGCGCCGCGTTGGCCATCTTCAGCAGATACATCTCGCGCAGCGGCCAGCTGTCTTGGAGTGGCGCCAGCGCATGTATGCCCAGATATTGAATGAGACCCTCCCACAGCCAGACATCCTTGAGCACCTTGCGCGAGGTGATGCCGCCGAAGAACTGACGCACCATGGCCTCGGCAATGCGCAGCGCACTGAACTGATACTGCTCCGAGGTAATGGAATGGGGATCGGTCAGAAAAGAAGTCTTCAACGTGACCAGACCCAAGGAGGAGATCAAATTGCGGTCCAGCGAAGGCAGCGCCACAAAGTCCACCTTAGTCAGGGGATAACTGATGTCCAGCCAGGTCTGGAGATACTCCAACACATCACGGGATGTGTGCAGAATGAAGGAAGAGCGCGGCAGCAAATCTCTGGGCGCATAGAAGGTATACGATGGTGCGCGCTTAATGGACGAGCCGGTGGACTGTGACAACGAGGTCAGATTTGTGGGTTTGCCATTCCCATTGATGGTCATGGGCAGCGCTGTGGTCGTCGAGCTGCTGATATTGTGAAAGGGCGTCAAATTCACGTTGAGCGAGTGCGTCAGAGCCGTAATATTGCGCACCGGCGGATTTTTGCTCTTCAGCTGCGTGTAGTTGTTCAGCTGTGAGGGCTTCTTGCCGCTGCCGGCGGTGGCTGGAGCCACCGTGGTGGGTATGTACGCAGCCGAGGGTTGCAGCGATTCCCGCTGAAAGTCGCTGACCACCCAGGCAACTGCATCGGCGGGCAATGGTGGCGTCTCGATGAAGTCATCACGCAGCTAAAATAAGGGTACAAACAATTGGCAATTGACCCTACGTGATGTTTGGGAGTGCACTTACCAGGCCTGTGCCCATGTAGAAGCCCACATCCTCTGTGGTATGCACTATCGAATTGGATAGACCTATATGGAAGCGGTCACGAAATACAGAGATGCGGAAAGGCGCACGCACGTGCGGTTCATCAAAACAGGGAAAGGCCCGACGTGCGCCATTTGGCCTGAAGACCGTGGCTGCCAGCAGGCTGTAAGGGATTAAGGCTTACTCTAGACTTCCGTTTTTGTCGAGTCAGCTTCCAGCTTCACAAAAATGTATTTGACGCTTACCGTTCACGTCCATTGAAGCTTTCGTACTGATCCACATAGAAACCCTCCGGCTCGGGATTCAGCTTGGAATACCAGCGTAAATTCAGAGTATAATTGGATTTCTTCTTGAGCTTCTCCTTAACCTCAATGTAAAATTGCTGACGTGGCGGAAATTCCAGCACCTTGACTATCTTCAAGGCATAGCCCTTGGGACCGGGCGTAACCAGCGCCTGTGCGTAAAATGCAATTAGTTAAGAGTCCATTAATTGGACCACCTTGACTCACCTTCTCGGTAACATTCAGGTCCTGTATGTGTAGCACTATGAAGTTGGTTTCCCTCTCTATGAACAGATCGATGGTCACTTGACCTGCCGCAATTGAAGGTAAGTAAGAGAATTGCATTAGGGAAAAAGCTAACGAATCGGGTGGTTCTCGATTCACGGCTCAGGGCTCACCTTTGACGTCCAGCGTTGTGAGATTGGGGTGTATCGTAACCATGTAGCGCAAGGGTCGCACGCTGTTGGGCAGCAGCTTTTCCAGCCAGGGGAAGGGCTCCCCGTTTGTGGCAATTGGATTGAATGGCTGTGTGTTGTTTTCTTCATCCGTTTCATAATCAGACGCCGTTTTCGCCGCACAGGAACAGTCTGCAAAGGCCATACACACAAACGTAATGTTCAGATACTTGGCTTGGAATTGGGCAGTTTTTATGTATTTTTTTTTAATATGGTTTGGGGAACTGTGGCTAAGCACATTGATGCTTGTTGTTAATCAACTGCGTTTTACACGGTTAACAAAGAGAACAAACTCAAAACGTGGGGCTTCAGAAACGCTAGGGTTAAGCAGAGAGGTGGAAATAATAAAAAGCTAGCATACAATCTGATGACTGGCGGAGGAGTTCAAGACTTTTGACTGGGTTCGCTAGCACATTTAATAGGAGTTAAACAGAAATATTATAAAAATTTGTTCTATAAAAGAATTAATGGATGGGTTTTTGTAGGAAAATGATTATTTAATGGAAAGTTTTTTTACTAATACCTTCTTTTCATCATTTCTTAAAGTAGTAAAAATAAGCTACATCAAGTTCTTTGAAATTATGATTTTGTAAAAAAAATTGTCTTTTTAATTATACAAGATTTTCTTCTTATTATAGCTGGGCATATAGAAATCGGTCTACTCCTATTTCTTATCATTTATTTTTGTTTAATTCGTGAGATAGTTATTGCTTTATTATGGGGTATTATGAAAATTAGCTCAACAAGTATGATTTAATTTTTCAAATTTTCCGACTGGGTTTTTGTTTCTAGTGTGTTAGAAAATATATATATTTATATCTTAAAATCGAATATAACTTGTTAAGTTTTAGAGGGCTTGGAAATGATATCTGTTTATGTAGATTCAAAGAATGTTCGATGTTGAAAATACGTTCTTACTTTAGAAAATACTACAGAAAATACAAGCAATTTTCGAAAAAAGTAAGATAAGATTAGATTAGAATATGTTGATTTTAGTGTTTGGCGAATTGAAACAAAGAGAAGAGTCTTGGATTTGAGTATTAGTTGTACGATAATTAAAAGGAGATCAAATGCACTAAGTAACGAAACATACAGAAAGGGTATTTCAAGAACAACATTGGATGACAGCAACATGCCGACAGATTATCTTATATCATAAAAATACTATATATGAAGATATATATGTACTAATTTTTCGGGGTTAGTTACCGGTTAGAAGAAGTGGGTTTTGGAAAATTTGTTACTCACATTTTTACCAATCAAACAAGCATTTAAGAGAAGTTTTCATAAATATGTATATAATATTTTGTTTTTACAAAAGAAAACAAAGAAACAACAATATGAAAAGAAAATGGTAAACAAATTTTGTATACATATTTATTTATATATATTTATATAACTATTGCATATAGAAGACGTACGAGTACTTTTTTTTATTTAGATTATGCTTACGTATTTTTAAAAGTCAATTAAAAGCTGGCATTTTAAGTGTATTTTCGAAGTGTTGCATCAATTAATGACAATACAAGTATGCTGGGGAGTAGGCAATGATAGGCCTTAAAACCTTTGTGCCGGCTGGCCACACCGTGTTGCATATTTCATTTGCAAACATGACACACACACGCTCACACACACACACACACACACACAAACACACGCCTGCACACAACATGCATGTCTGGCGCTTTGGCTCCGGCTCTGGCTCTGGCTACGGCTACGGCTCCGTAATGCAATTAGCCTTCAATGCATTTTGCCCCATTAAGTATGCAACACAAGGTTTATGTTTGTACTTTGCATACATTTTGCAACGTAATATGCAACACTGGAACCACCAGCCCTTCCCAGCCAATCGCCTCCTCCTTGCAAGCCTGCCTGGGCTTGCCTGGGGCAGACATAAGCAAGCATGTGAGTGTGAGTGTGAGTGTGAGTGTGCCCAGCATATATTTTAATAGTATTTGGTTTGCGTTAACACTATTAAAGGCATATTACAACCGACTGCGACTATGTCAAGAAGCAGAGAGTAGGATGTGTGAATGCAGCTGCCGCTGGCTGCAACCTTCATCAACTTAATGCGATTATATGGTTTCAATATGGATAATATGCTGTTTACTGCAGGCTCTAAGAGGCACACCAAGTGAAAAGGCGTGCTGGCATGTTATAAAAAGCTCTGACTAGTATGGAAACATATAATGCAATTGATTAAAAGGGTATATTTAATTGTATTAAATGCAGATATCAGCTGTCTATGTTAAGCTTTTCATTTTAATATTCACATGTCCTGCTTTCATCTCGAGCAGGCTAGAAGCCTTAGTAAACTTTCTAGGAGGTCTGAGCTGGCCAAGATCAGCCTCCTCACAAGCTGCAGCTACCTTATGAAAATCTTTCGCATTCGGTTAAATGAGTCTACCTTCTTATCACAAATAACTGCTTATATAATTGACGATTGATGGACAGACGCTCTAAACTATTGAGTCCAAGCTTGAGTCCACCATATCGAATTACACAGAATCTTGAAGGAACTGCAGTTTTTTCTATCATTGTGTCTTGTTTTGAAGGAGCCAGGCCCTAGTTAGCAGAAGAGAAACAATCTAACGGGACACAATCACAGTATATGACTTGCACCTGGAACATATAGGAGTAGTTAACTTGCCTAGAAATACAATATAGTGTGTGTGTGTGTATCTTTGTTAGAGATGTCAAAACTGTTTCTTGCTTTGCAGCATATCCGGCAAGCGGAAGCACAGCTCGCCGGTTGTCGCTGGCTTGTTGTAGTTGTTGTAGTTGTTTGTTGTGGTGGTAATAAAATTCAAAAACAACAAACCGAAAAGAACGCAAAGAAATGCAACCAAAACGCAAATATGCACAATGGAACCTACCATTTTGAGGTCCGGCGTAGGCAATGATAACGGCCGTCAGCAGCAGGGAGCCGAGCACGATGCCTGCAACGAGAAGGGCCCGTCGCTGCGAGCAGACGGCGACTCCGGTGCGCGTCTGGCGGCCTCCACTCGATTCGCCACCTGGAAAATGTAATTAAATGTCAGTGCGATAAAGGACAAAGTGAGAAGTAGCGCAGAGCGGGCGGGGCAAAGGCAGGCTGGGAGTGAGGGGTCATATTAAATTATGTAAATATTTGCACGCGAAATGTTTGCATTGCGTCCACTGTGGGATTTGGATTGAACGTTGGATGTTGGATATCCATATGAGTTTATATGGGTGCTTGGTTCGGGTTCGTTTACCTGATAGAAATGCACAATCATCCAAATCCGGATCATTTGTCATTTCGATGCGCTCGCGCCGCCAAATTTTTGAGCCTTTACGACCACCGCCAACGACCGAAATCTTAACGGGGCCGATATCTTTTTGTCTTCCGGCCAATACGTTAACTTAAATGCGTTGCTTAAACGCCGCGTTCTTCAGTTATTTATATCGGCTATATACGATTTGAACAACAAACACATCAATTTACTGTCACAAACGTCAAGATCAACTGCTGCTATTATGTTTAAATATTTGGTTAGATATGGCAGCAGCAGCATTTGATATGCCTCAATATGCGCCCTTTTGATACCCTTGCAGACAGGATTTCGCATTTTATTATGATATTTTGAGAAAATCTCTGACCCTATAAAGTGTATATAGTATAAGATCCCTTCATTTTAACTAATCTCCAAGTTCTATAGCCATTATCATGAAACATTCGGAATTGGCAGGATCCGTCTACTATATCATATAGCTACCGTAGGAAAGATTAAAAATTCGTTTTTCAAAATACTCCTGACATATGCACAAAATATTACTAGCATCGGACTACTTATCATTCAGCTGCCATAGGAACGATCCATCAAAAATTAACTTCTTGCATGATAATCCCTTCTGTTTTTCAAGATGTCTTGCCAAACTTGACATTTACTAGATTCCCCAAATAAAATTATTATTAACATCGGACTAATATGTCATATAGCTGCCATATGTGCAAACTTGTACTATGATCGGACAGCTATATATACGATAAGCCAGAACTTAATATCTTGATCAAACTTGATTCCCTATAATTCATCGGACTACTATATCATAACGCTAGAAGAAAATCATCCAAAATTATGGCAGTTATTTGTTTTCGAAGATATCTTGACCAAATTTGACATATATTCGATTCTCTATGCTACTGCAATATGTGAAAACGTCTGCCATAGTAAAAATCAGTCCGAAATTAACTTCCTGTATGAAACTCTTGTTCGTTTTTCAAGATATCTTAAGCAAACTTTACATTTACAAGATTCCCTAATCTCCTGAAGTTTGTCATATATGGTATATATAATATCATATAGCTTTAATGGTGGAATCCGTCAGTTTTTGTTGGTCAAATATTTCTGTCATTCAAGTTATCTCAAGCAAACTCAGCAGCTACGAGCTGTACTACTCTCACCACATATCTGCAAAGTCGTAAGCCATATGTCTACAAGGGTATTTAATCTTTGGCGTGCGGAAGATAGCAGTCTTTTTATCGTTTTTTATTTGTGCCTCGCCCAGTCAAGCCACGTGCGCCTCATGCATATTTTATGCACTTGCCACATTTTCTATATAGCCAACTTTGACTACGTTAGCCCCATAAAATTCGAAGGTAAATCAGTTTGAAATTGACAGAGCCGAAAAACTCTCATCGACGCGACGAGTTGATAATCTGACGGACAAATAATCGTAATTTATGCGCCCCCTCAAAAGGTAGAGATGAAAAATAAAATGGGAAAAACTGTGAGTCGACTTTCCACCCGCCTTTCTCGATTTTCTTTTCTCTTTTGCTTTTATATTTTGGGACAGGCGCCAAAAGCTGCCGCCCTTCCGGTCTCGACTCCTGCCGCCGCACAGCCGGCATCCCGTCTAGTCCATCGCCCATTTGGGCTCTGTCTGAGCCGGCGGCGGCGGCTGCGGCGGCCGCCCTGTCCATGTCGTTGTCTGCGTCTGCAGTTTTTGAATGTTGCTCGCAATTTCAATGTCGCATTGAATTAGTGAAAAGCGCTTTCGACGCCCCAAAAATCAACCCCCGAAAATTGTGAATGCTTTCTGTGTGTGCGTGCGTGTGTGTGTGTGTGTGTGTGTGTGTGTGTCCATGTCTGCTTTTGAGCAGCACTTGAAGTTCAAGTTGAGCATCCTTGGCGAATTTTATGCGGTTAAGACTTGGCAATAACAAAGTAAATATGCTAAGCTTGAATTTTGGGTAATTTACTCGAATTTGCTTTAAAAATCAAAACTTGGTTTTAAAAATATAAATTAAGATTGACAATTTGATATACATTAAAGGAATATTTAAAAAATTAAATCTTCTTCTTTACAGTTATACATTTGCGCAATGTCAAATGCAATTTATCTGCTGATAAGGCTCTAAGGCGAGAATATGTTTTATGGTAGAAGTTCGTAGTATTCAACTTTTTCGGGTTGATAAGATTCTACAGGTCGGCAACGGACTATATAAAACCTGTTAATGTTAATGCTAAATTAAGAAATAATATTGCTTTTTTATGGTTAGATTAAGTCTTAATTAAGGCTTTTTACTATTTTATTATCAGATGCATAATTTCAAAAAAAATTATATTATTTAATGAATTATAATAATGTTATCTGACATTTATTTCAGAATAAAATTTAAATTTAAATGATCTTAACATTCGCTTAACATTGAGAAATATATTAAATATACGCCTGTTATCATTCTTTAAGCCATTCAAATGCCCATTAACTTTCTAATAATCATAATGCTTGACTATAACAATTTCTAAGGACATGCAGTTGTCGCGGGAATATAAAAATAGCCTTGTTACAGTTCCTGTTATATTCTTTGACATGTCAAGGTCAACAGCCATGTAAATACAATACTATTAACTGTATTGTTAAGACGCCTTCTGCATTTGTTTACATTTGCATGCATGTTGTTATTATTGTGAATTTGTTGTTGTTCAACAATTGGAAACAAAACTTTAGTGATTACGCAGCCAGCGTCACAAGAGCACAAGAGCGCAAGAGAGCAAGAGAGCAAGAGAGAAACGAGCGATAGTCAGAATGAAGAGCGTATGCGTGGCAGCTGGAATGCCAGCTGAGAGCTTGCGAGAGAGCAACACTTAACGGTGCGCTCGCATTGGAATCTGTGTTTTGAAAATGAAATGTCAAAAAGCAAAGCTCAACAGCGCGCATTTCCTCACATGCGTCAATTGAGCGTTAGTGTTAGTGTGTGTGTGTGTGTGTGTGAGTGTGAGTCGGAGAGTATAAGTGAATTTCCGGCTTTGTCTTAGCTTTGATTATGCGGCGTTTTTCTTTGCGAGCAGCGAGCGCGTTTCTGAGTGCTTTCTGAATGCGCGTATATATGTCAATAGTGCGCTTTCCAGTCCAATTCGAGTTGTTTTTTTCTTTCGCATTTTGCTTTTGCTTTTTTACTTTGCTATCCTTATTTTTTTTTTTGCATCTGGTCCCTTTTTTTTGTTTGCCACTTGACTGAATTGGCGAGTGCATTTGCGTACAAAACGACAGCGGCAGCGGCAGCGGCAGCGGCAGCGCCGACTCCTTCCTCTATTGTTGGCTCTAGAAATTAATTCTGACATTTTGGTCGGACGGCCGACTATATAATAGTGTGGCAAGCGTGTGCAGATATTTGCTTTGGCTTGTTGCTGTTGGGTCTTGGCTGGCTATGAAAGGTCAAAATAGCAACAATTAATCAATGCATGTGACGGTTTCATTAGGTCAAAACCAATTTATTTATATGGCCCGCCCACTTGGCCCAATATTGGCTTTTACTTTGTACACATGAACTTTGAGCTTTGCTTTCACAATCAAATTCACTGGTTTCACTTGAAGTACCGTTGAATTTCCGTTACCGAACTCGATTCGTTGCCAGAACTTTGTTGCTAATTAGCTTCAATTAACAAAAAGCCGAAAGAAATTGATTCGTTTCATCGGTTGCCTTCTCTTACTTTGCTTCCTTTCTTTCGTATTTTCTTTTCTTTTCTTAATATTTTTTTTTTGACAATTTCTATGCTCTTTTCGCTATAGACACGCACAGCGGGCAGGGGGCAGTGTGTAAGGGCAGCACGCGACTCATCTGTGTGCGAGTGTGTTTGTGTGTGGGTTGAGGAGGTTTTTTTTTTGTCAACACGGGCTTTCGTTTCGATGTTCCGTTTGTTTGTTACGCGCTTTCCGATGCGTTTGACTGCGCGTTCATTTTCCAACTGGATGCTGTTGTGGCTCGCCGTTGGGTCTCCGGCTGTGAAAAGCACTTTTGCAGCAACCCCTCCGACAATGCCCCCCCACCCTTCGCCTGCCGCCCGCCAGCCAACCTGCACAGCTGTGCAGCGCATGTCCTCACGCTCTCGCAAGCTCTCGCTCGCTTGCTCTTTTTGACGCTCTCTCGCTATTTGCCAGCATTGGCTCTCACCTGCGAAAATGAAAATGAAATTTCTTTGGGCCCTTTTTGCCGGTCCCTTGCGCCAACAAACTTGTTTGCCTCAAAAGCAGCATAAATAGTGGAGTGTTTTGGTGTTGCCAAGCACATCGGAATCAAGCGAGCATGCTGCAACCCTTAAGCACCACCCACCAGCACAACCCGCACACCCCTCCCATCCTTTCCTATCAGCCACACCATCATCCGCGTATTTCTCCCCAATATGCAGCTTTATCTAGTTGCTGTCGCTGCCGCTGCTTCTTTATCATGTGTTAGCCAAAGGTTCAATCGGCGAACAGTTCTTGATGCTGCATAATTAGGGGATGGATTCCGGCTTTATACATATATGAGGCGCATTCCGGCTCATTCGAGATTTACGAGCGCACGTATTTCTCGAATGGATGCTGCTTTTTATTGCCTACTTTGTGGCGCCCTTTTGGCAAGTCCAACACACACTCATTAGTTTCTAATGGAGGCTGCAACTGCGGCAAATAATTCCACAAAATTAGAACACATGCTGAGCGCCTGCAACTTCCGAGTGTTTCTAATAGAAATAATCACATTATTGCAATGTTAATTGCTCCGATTGAG